GCTGCTCATTGCATTGCATTTTTTTTTTAATGCCACCTTTCTGCTGGAGAAGGGACTCTGCTTGTGCAGAGTTAAAACGATTTAAGAATTTATTTTTTTTAAAAAAATACATCTCTATTCAAACCAACCAACCATCCATGAAGCATCCTAAGAGATTAAAAAGCCGTGGAGGACCAGGGGTCGGGGGTACCGCGCTGATGGTTTTGCAGGCGGAAGGGGACCGTGCGATTGATCCCGAGCATTTCCAGGCAGGTCTGAGATCTTCTGACAGCCGTCACGGGTGGGGTGGGAGGAGAAGACCTTTGGTAGGGAGGTTGTGGTCAATTCAGACCTGCCGGTGGAAGGTCGTGATCCACCCTCCCTCGCCGGATCCAAACATGCAGGCCGGTGGACCGGTCTGCATCCACCAAAGGAGGGCGGGTCTTTTGCGAAGCCAACGGCTCTTGCTGGCCCTTTTGAAATCAAACCGCCCGGAAAGACACTGCGTTCCAGCGAGGAAAACGTGGGAAATGTTTCTGAAAAAAAATCTGTTTCTTTTCCCAACGTCTACAAGGTGTGGAGGGAGGCCGTTGGTGTCCGAGCGAGGGCTGCGTCCCTTGTTTGCAAACCGGGAAAGGATGTGAACACATTTAGCCTGCGTTTGCAGGTTCAAGACGGCGAAGAGGTGCTGCTCGTGTGGGGGCCCCCCTTTCTTTCCTTTCAGAAACCCCTTCCTCTTCTGAGCTCCCTCCTTCCTTTTTCCATTTGCAGAAGCCCCCCCCCCGACACCACCTCCACCCCCAGACTGGCTGCAGATTCCCTTGGTGGAGGCAGAGAAGAAGACTTTTGGGGGGGGGGCATCCTTGGGGAGATCGTGCGGGGAAGCCATGGAGGTGCCCTCGCAGTGGGTGAGTCGGGGGATCCCGGGAGTGGATTCATGACAGCGCCTGAGGTCCTGGGGGGGCGGTTTTGATGGGGGTCCCACCACACCCGTGAGGGGGCCCTTCTGGCTGGATTCTCTTCCCCCTTGCAAAAAAGACATTCCTTCCGGATGGGTCGGGTGTGGAGGGAGGGGGGTCCCTCCCGAGGGGCCTCAAAAGGACTCCATTTTCTTGGAATACCACCCCCCTCCCAACCCCCCCCCACAAAAGGCTGGCCCCATTCATTGCTTTCTTTTAGGATTCCCAGAGAATTTGGGGGACTGCATCCCAAAAGCTGGACCAGGAAACATGCCGGCTTGGTGGAATTTTTATTTGAATCCAGAGGGTTGCACGGTTTAAAATGACGGCTGCAGAGGAATTAGGGTCCTCGTCATCACCCTCATGCGCTGTCGAGCCGATTCTGACTGACGAAGGGGTTATTTTATCCTCTTGTTTTAACCTGAGCTTTTGTGATTCCTCTTATTTATGAGTTCTAATAAGATCCCGGTTTAGTGCTTTTTAGAACATTAGAACGGTTTCTTAACGTAGCTTTTTAATGCCGTTTTTTTTAACCACGTGGGTAATTAATGGGATTAAAAGAACCTTTTAGGAGAAAATGGCATAGAAATAATTTATTTGCTTATTTATTAAACTTATATGCCGCCCGTTTAGACGTAGTCTACTCTGGGCACCTCACAAAACACAGAGTAATAACAATTAATGTATAATGACAATTTGCAACTTTTACACACTAGACGGTAGTTAAAAATAGAGGAAGGGGAAGAGGTAAGTTAAGTAATGCCTGGAGGGAAGGTCTGTATATAACCAGGTCTTGAGTTGGTTTGTAAAAATGCCCAGGAAGGGGGCCAAATGGACCTCATGGGGGGGGAAAGGTGTGTTCCAGAGACAAGGAGCCACTGCCGAGAAGGCCCGGGGTCTTGTTTTTTCTTTCTGGGCCTCCCTCGGCGTTAGGCTCCTCAGTCGCCCCTCCTGACTAGAACGGGTGATACGAGTAGATCTAGGTGGGGCAAGGCGTTCCGCCAAGTATCGAGGTCCTAAACCGTTTAGGGGTTTATATGTAATCATTAATACTCTGAACCGAACGGGCAGCCCGTGCAAGGAGGCGAGGGTGGGAGTGATATGTTGGTGTTTCCTCACCTCACTAAGAAGTCTGGCCGCCTCATTCTGCACCATCTGGAGTTTCCGCGTCAACCTCAAAGGGTAGCCCCACATAGAGAGCATTGCAGTAGTCTAATCTCGAGACTATGAGCACATGGACCAAGGTAGTGAGCGCCCCAACGTCAAGAAAGGGACACAGCCGGGCTATCCACCTAAGATGGAAATAGGCGGAGCGGACCCCAGATGCCACCTGGGTTTCCATGGTGAGCGCCGGGTCCAGATGGATCCCCAAGCTGCGAACCTCATTCTTCACAGTAAGAGTCCTCCCCCCCCCAAAAAGAGAGGGAGTTTCCCAAACCGCTGACGGTGGGTCAACCCGCCCTCAGGACCTCGGTCTTGTCCGGGTTAAATGAATAAAGGATGACGATCACAACAGCGACTGTTTTTCAGTAGGACAAATTAAAATGTCCAGACAATTATTATTATTATTTTTATCCCAAGCGGGATACGACGCCAACGGTGTCGTCTCGGCCATTTGATGCACGTGGGTGTCGCGTTGATGGAATTTGCGCAGAAAATGCAGAACGAGCCCCACCTCTGTGCCGGAGGGGGGCTCCCTCCCTCCCAATCTCCCTCCTGTCATTTAATATTTTAATAGAGATCCAGACCAGCCCTTTGGAAACGGGTCGGGACGGCGAAACACTTAGGAAGGGGGGATGACATGATCTTTCCCCTTCGGACTGATGGGTGTTGCCTTTTTTCCTTCTCCGTCCGAGAGACGGCGGCCCACCAAGACCGCCGCGTCGTCTCTCTTGTGGATCTTGATGTCCCGCCGCTTCTCCTTCCTTTTAGGGCCTCGATACCTTCGAGGAGATGGCGGTGCACTTCACGGCTTTCCACGGAGGAGGGCTGGGCGCGCTGAGGGCCCAGACGGAGGGCTTGGCGGAAAGGGACTACCGAGGAGAACTCTGGAGCTGCGGGAACCTCCCTCCGCTGAGTAAGGCTTCCTCGCGGCCTCGTAACATAAAAACGGCCCAGCCTGGTGGGACCCGAATCGGGGCTGTGGCCGCCTCTCCTTTTCTGCAGTGGGGGACCCACCGCGCAGAAGCCACTGGGGGCTAACGAGTGGAACTGAGGAACGAGTGCTCTCCAAATGGTCCCGTCCTCAAAGGGCCTTCTCATCATGTACATGACCAAGGGGGAACATGACCCGGGTTTAAGGCCCAGCTCATGGGCATAGTTTTGTTTTGTTTTTTTCATTTCCTGTCATAAATCCTATTTTTCTGGGGTTCATGGCAGTTGGATAGCTCAGAGTTTTAAGTCTCTGGCTGTGGAGCCGGAGGTTGGGGGTTCAGTTCCCCCACAGGGCCTCCTGGAGACGGGCCGGACTCCATTAAAAAATATATACAGTGGTGCCTCGCACAACAGACTCCATTAAAAAAATATACAGTGGTGCCTCGCACAACGAGTGCCTCACACAACGATGGCTTTTTTCTAAAAAATTTGCCGCCTCACACAACGATGTTTCCTATGGGGAATTTTCGCACAATGATGTCTCTTTTCACTCATTTAAAAGTGAAACCAATTAACATCGTTGTGCGAGGCACCACTGTAAATTATGGTCTAGAGAAGCTGCAAAAATAAATGATAGGGAATTGGAATAGATTGGTCAGCAGAGTTTCCGAGAGAGTTTGTGAACGGGTTGATTACGAATTGTTGTTCTTCTTGCCCCTTCCTTGCAGACAGCACCTCCGCTCCCGCGGCGCCCACTGGGGCAGAGGNGGAGGACTCCACCGACGAGGAGGACATGGAGCATCCGTCGGCCGCCATGGCGGCACGCCAGCAGGTCCCCTGGGCCGGCTTTGAGAAAGTCTTCACGTTTGTGCGCCAGAAAGGGAAGAACGTGGTGGTTCAGTGCAACTGCTGCCTCCCGGCCATCAAGCACCTGAGCTCGGCCATCAACTCCTCGTCCAACCTGAGGAAGCATTTGGAGGTGAGCCTGGGCTTCGCTCGCCCCTCGGGAAAAGGGTCAGGGAAAGGGGCCGCCAGGTGGCTGGCGTGGCGAGGGCGATGGAACAAATGGGCTGGTTAGATTTCCGGATGCTCAGGGTATCTGCTTCTCATTGGCTTCCTGGGAGTACTAGTTCTTTGGGAGGCGCTCCCAGCCGAACCTAAGGGGGCAGCAAAACTAAGACTCCCAGGAAACGCAGTGGCCCCTTTCTTTCCGAAAGGAATCCATAACAGGAAGCACAGGCGGTAAGGTCCATGCAGCCTCACCGGGAGGTCCTTTGCTGCAGGTGGGTGGAAGGTGTATGTGGGGGTCTCCACAGGGGTGTGTTTTTGTGGACGAATGCTCCACAAAAGCGGAGGATTCTGGGAGTTGGGTCCAAAAGAAAAAGAAAGGGAAGAGCAACAGAAATAAATTTCTGAATCTTTAAGGTAGTGTGAGACCTGCTTTTAGGTTTCGGTTCAGTGAGAAGGGTGGGTGTCAGCTATCCTCTGTTTTTGTGTCTTAAATTGGAAAAGGCTTTTCCTTCCTTCCTTCCTTCCTTC